CCCGGGAAAATCCCGTATAGCCTAAAAGGCGAGGTAGGGAAGAAAAAAAATCAAATAAAAAACCAGTAGCCTGGCAATGGTACACTCTCAAGAGTCATATAATCAACAAATTTGGATAGTTGGATAAACCTGTAAATATAGAAAAATTATAAATTTTTATTGAATGTAGAAAAAAACTTTTCAATACGAAAAAACTTGTTGGTATTATATCGAAACGGCTTACCCATGGACAAACGACTTAAACGAAATATTGCTAGAAATTATTAAACCAACTACCATTTATGGCACATTTTATGAACCTAACATTGAAACAGTTCATAGTAATATTTTAAAAACTTTCTCAGACAATTCAGGACAGTTATCCAACAGTAAAAATCGGGATATTAAAGAAATAATCAACAAAACATGCATCCACCACAACAAAATGATTGGAATACGGTTTCAAATGAGAACAGTTTCTATACGTCTCTATAATACAGAGGATGATAAAGACGAACAAATCAGAATGTTAACGGAAAAACTAAATCAATTAGAAACTCAAAAAGAGAATTTTTAGAGCTGGGTCTGAACAACGGAAAACTGCTGGATCAGATATAAAAGAATTGGAAATCAACTTAGAACTTTGTCTAGATAATTCACCACTGCTCACGGATCCGGAAAATAATAAATGGTTAATTGATATGGGAGTAACAAAAAATTATATTTGTCCAAAAGTGATTAAAAAAAATGCTGAGTATAGATTTTTTTTTACTACAGAATACTTTGAGATAAAAACCCTTACAGGACATGCAGAAGGAACACCTCAACCTGCAGTCTTTAATAGGAATCAATCAAGAAGTTAAATTCATAGTTTATCCAATTGGCACACGATTTGATATTCTTCTTAGGTATCAAATATTACTACAATTAAGAACAAAAATAAATTCAGAAAAAATGATATAAAAATAAGGGATAAAAAATATAAATTAGAAAAAGATGTCATCAAAATTTAAGATACAAATGAAATAAAAAAAATATAACACGTCAACATATTCATCCAGAAAAAACAAAAAAATTAACACAAATAATTAGTGAAAAGTAATAAATACGACGAAGTAATAAAAAAACCGAAAAGAAAAAACTAAAGCCGATAAAATTATTAAAACATAAAATAATAATAACTACAAAAAAAATCCAATTTATACACAAAATAAGTATAGGGCTCGACTTACTGAGTCATCATCATAGACTCGACTCTGAAATATGATCATATACTCCAAGTAATTGATTTATCAGGTTTCATTCCATTTCGGTCTTACTGTAAAAAGGGAACATCAAAAGCCAGCTTAATTTTTTTTAAGCTAATTACATAAGCTATTCTTACTACAAGTTGGCAAGTTAATGTTTCCTGTCAGAGATGGCAGAGAACTATCAGTTCACCCTTTGTTAAAAAGATGATAAATAGAGAAATTAACCTCAACACATGTTACATCTGTGAAAATTATATAAAAATCTGTGAAGAAAATACCACTCAGTAGTGTCCAAAATGAATAAATAAATCAACAGCAACAGTATGCATATTAGATAAAAAATGGAAGAGATGCAATGGGCAATCAAAATATTAGAGATGAAGGATGTCAAAAATGACATAAGGAAGAGAAACTTAATGATGGATAAAGCGACTCAAAACATCATAATATAACTGGAGAATGGATTAATTGAAGATGGATGTGTCATCCATCCAATAACATAATACAGACTCATAAAAAAAAATTGAACAAGTATGATTTAAAATATTCCAGAATTTAAACCCAACATTGAAAAATAAAACATTGAAATATTTGTCTTAAGAATTATTATAAGTTTCATTACTATCTAATTCAAAAGAAGATGTTAAAGTTTGTATTATCTAAATTAACCTTTGTTTCCTATTAAACATTGTTTTATCCATTTCAAACAGCAAAATAAAACAGTATATAAATAAAAGCAAAGATTTTTTAAAATCCTAATTGATAACATAAATTAGTGTATTTCAATACTTTTATATCAAAATTGAGAAAAAGCAGACAGTAAGATTTTTTTTTCCTATGTAAACAATATGAGGCATTGCGGATACCAAGGGAGAACTCAAGAAACCTGAAAATTGAGAAAACCCTAGCTTACACTACAGGTGAACTCAACAAGTCATAGTATAATAAAACTTTGACTAACCAGATGATGATTAAATGAGCATAACATTTATTGTTCACTTTCTGTTAACTGTTACTACAGCAGAACTAAAAAAAAAATTATTTTTTTAAACTTGCGATGTTATGTTAATTTAATTTAATTATTGTTAAGTTAATTTAATAACATACACGCTATAGATTATTAGATAACATTAATTTGAAAAAGTCAAATTAGTAAAACAAAAAAATACCTAAAACAGAAGGAAAGTTCATTATATTCATAGACTCAAAATCTCAGAATTATTGTTCAACAGGAAATGAAAGAACCTGAATGAGACTGTGGGTTTCTGAGAAAATGTAAACACCATGTCATAGCCCTCCTCAATTAATGTCTCACGTCAGGAATTATTTGGAGAAAAGATAAAAAAAACATAAGTTTTTAAATTTATTAAAACATAAGTATACAATAATTTCATAACTCTATTCATAGTTCTCCACCTTTTGTTATTTTTGTCCTCCCCTTCATCACCTTTTAGGCTATACGGGAGTTTTCCCAGGGCAGAGAGTAAGGGCAGGGGATTGATGTCAGAATTAAAAGACACAGGTGCTGCGCCCACTAGGCCACCATATCCCTATTCATAGTCCATCTGATCATCATCGATTATGTAATCTTCATCTTGGTTTTGTTGGATATTTATGGCAGGTTGGTTGTCCAGTACTGTTGAAAAATACCCTGACCATAGTTAAGGAATGAATGGCAACAAATCTCTTAAGTCCTTTAGCTTTGTTTGAAGTATGGGTGGGTACCGGAGCACTATACAGCTGATATTATTTTTAGCAATTTCACGTCAAAGTTTTAATTTTGTGAACAAAAACACCCTATTTGTATTCTTTCAAAAAACTTAAAAATTTTCCCATTCTTGAACACCCAGCAGCTTAGATTTTGAAATACGTTTTTGAAGTTTAAAAAAAAATCTTGCTTAAGGTAAACAACTATAAATCGATGCTTCTGGCGACTTTTCTCAATGAAATATCCATAATTGTTTTTGGAATAGACATTGGAATGAGGTACCGCTTTTTCTATGTGGCCAAATTCCTCAACGCATGGAAGAATGAAATATCTAGGAATCCTAAAATAGTGTTTAATTTGATCATATTTACATCAATGTATAAATAATAAATTGTCTAAAATCATATTCAAATTTTTATTTTTGCTGAAGCAGTTATCACTGAACATCAACATTTGTTTAATGGTTTCATCAACAGCTGTCAAATAGTGAATAATGCAGCTTATAATTTCGCATGAGCCATGCTTTGCAGGGTATTCATCCCACACGTACATCTTGGAAATTTTTATGTTGTAGATGCAAAAGTTATAGGTCAACATTTTTTGTTTGTAAAACTGGATCCCGCTGGTCAATATGGGAGTGGCAATGCTTGCTGTAGGTTAAATGTGATAACAAGTACTGAATCATTGCACTCATCATTCATTGATTTCATGAGATACTGTGGAGCTTTTGTCCTACCCAAATGAATTTATTCCTCAAGTTCAAGTTTTTTATTTTTACAGTAGAATCTTGGCTGCTACTGTTATATATTGGTTCAAAACCAATATTAAACTCGCTACTGAAAATGTCTAGATAATAATGCAGAGTGACAGGGTCATTTTCAGAATAGTTCTCATGAAGCCATTCTTTATAAAGAATAAAGAGTATTGGTGTTTAAACCTACTGGTAGGTATTTCCGATGAGGACTTTTGGCCAGACTGTAATGACCGGACACAGTTATCAATGGTGTTATGTGCTGCTTCACTTTGAACTTCTGATTATCTTTTATTTTATGACCTGATTATTTTTTACCTCTTTGATCTGTTGCTACTGTTTCCATCAAAGATATTTTATCAAACATAACACAGACTCTCGTTTTTCTGTTATTCCATGTACACGATAACATGCTTTGCCACACACGTCATTTTTCTCGTTATTAACAAGTATGGCATGGTGTATACATTGTTAAGTATGGCTTGGTATTCCTACTATTAACATACGTATTGTTTCCTTACTTACAGCCAGCTTAGACAAATACCCATTTTACAAATCATAATCTCCTAGTGCCCACAATGAATTAAAAGTTGTTTGAACATTATCATGACCTATCTTATCAAAACACTCACAGTGACAAGGTTCACCAATTCCACAGGCCGGTAAAATCCTTTTTGTATAGCGAGAGACGTATTCCATACCTGTGTTCCGTTTTCTCTTCGCTTCTACTTTTTCTCACTTTTAGGCCATTTCCTAGAACACCCTGCTGGCGCACTTTCCATAATGAAGAAATAATTTAATTATCAGTAAATAATTTTTAAAATAAAAAATAATCCGTATTGATTGTTTGAAATATTGCATCATACTAAACAGGTGGCAAGTACTAGAAAGAGAGTGGGAGAGTGGTGGACTTTACACTAAGTCAGGAGTTGGGGAGAGAAGTTGAGTTTGCTGTTCATATCCGTAATTCTATTGCTCATTTCAGTTGTCTCTAAATGTAAACACTCATTTTACATGGGAAAGAAAAGAGAATTCGACAATGAAATTGTACCTGCTTGTACTACATGCCATAGAACCCTTTTGGCAAAAAATTTTTTTGATCAAGTGTCAAGTTCATCCTTCGTATCCGCACCATCTCATATGTACACATATGTATATTTTTTAATAGATACAAAATTAAGATTAAAAATGAGTAAACAGTTCTACCTCTGTTGTGCATGGCATTTAGATAATTAAATAAAAATAAACAATATTTATACAAAAAATATAATTTATAAAATAAAAAAATTCCAAGACATATATGAATGATATTTAGACAATTAAACTAAAAAAAAGTCAATGAAGGACTTGAATAAATCTCAGTTATTGAAATAATGCTAAAAATATGTAAATTTTATTTACTAGATAACAAGCTGCTAAAATATTGGTTTAATATTTATTTACAAATAATTTAAAGTAGGAGAAGCTTAGCTTTGCTAAATCTATGATTGAAGTAAAAACAGAAATTTCCTATAAAAGCTAAATGAAATTTTTTTTTAAACATATAAACAAATTAATTGCACAGTAAATTTAAATGTATTTGTAAAAATATAATTTATTTTTATAAAACACAATTGAGGTCTAACAAACTAATTTCCCGATATTAATCTATTTGTCAATATATTACTACATTTTCTAAACACTACAGAATTATCAGGCAATATACTACGCTTATACAAAATGTACTTAAAAAGAAAAAAAAGAAGCTTATCTGGATGCTGTTATGAAAAAGATTGTAAATTTCTAGCTGCTGCTGTATCCACAAGCCAATGTAACTTCCCCGAGGTAGGTTTTACTCTGTTAGCTGGTAGGTCTTCATCGCCCAAGAAGATTCTCTAAAATTGAAAAGTTTAACTATTAATTTATACTGTTCATGGTAAAATCAAATAACTGCAGTATCAGGAGAGTTTAAAATGTTTATGATTGATTCAATAAATTTGATATTCGATAATAAAATATATTAATACCTTTGAATGGAAAATATACAAAATAGATTATTTTCATAAAAAAATAAAAACAATGTCGATACTCTCAATATTTCATTAGTGTAAACTCTCGTTTTTACGTCTTATGGTGGATGCCAACTAAGTACTTTTATGATATAAATAAAAAGATTTTTTTTTTACTTTCACTTATATATATAAAATATATAGTAAGGGAAAGTATAGTGATCATGAAAATTTTCTAATCCAAGATTTCAACGGAAATACACTTTTTGAGGTCTGCTGAGTCCAAATAACCAAGTCTCACAAAATGGTCTGTGTGTGTGTATGTGAACAGTCTAGCACAAAAACAAAAAGTCTTATGGAACTGAAATTGCATATTCAAGGTTCCTAAATGATTGGGATATTACAGCAAATTCTTTCTTAAAATCGGAAGTCATACACATTTTTACAATTTTCTCAAAAACGGCTTTAATGATTTTAATTAAACTCGGTGTGTCATTATTTAATATCATTTAGGTCTTATCTCCATTGATGTCACTTTACAGGGCTCAAATGCTCAATGTTCATATACGTTGTACTCTTAAGTCCCTTTAAATATGGTTTATTTATAAAAATTAACTCGCTTTTATTGACAGTAAATATAAAAAATAATTAAATAAGAAGTTTGAACAAATATGATAATTGGAAACTAGAGAAAAAATAAAAATGCTTATCCAGGTTGAAAATGAATCTCCGGAAATAACAGTCAGAAGGTATACATATAATATATCGTTGGAAAGTGGAGAATTTTAGAAAGAATAATATTAAATAAATAAAGTTGTAGAAGGTAACGGAGAATGAGGAAAAAAATATAAATAATAATTTCAGAAGACTAACATTAGTTAACGTAAATCACATGTTTCCAAGGAAATTAAATGAAGTTTTCTTACTAAATGTAAACTTTTTTTGTAAGCTTGAAAAAAAAGTATTTAAAATCCACCGAATCAAGCTGAATTGTTTAAAATACTATTTCATTGTACTTGTGTGAAAGAAGAAGTGAAATATAAAAATATTTCATGGATATGTCAATAACCTTATATACATTTACTGTAGTTTATTAACTGTAGATCTGATATTATACTTAAATAATTGGGTATTTATCATCCGTTTATTCAGAAAAAAATCATCATTTAACTTTTTAGAAAATTAAATCACCTAGTGAATAATTTGATGAATGATGTGATATCCCAGCAGTATACACTTATAGTTAGTGTGACAAATTTTGACCTATCTATGACAGGCAATGCAAATCTTGTAATTCCGTTTTACTAAACTTTGTAATGGATAACAACAGTTTAATAACTAATGGTCGTACAATCCATAATTAACAGCTGATATAATAAATAGGATTTTTGTTATTTTAATGGTATTAATGATTTGTTAGCTGTAAGCTTTAAGCTTTAGCTAGGTTAAAAATGCACATAAATTTTTTTAAAATATTCCAACATTGTCAGAAAATAATTTATATTCAAAGTAGAGTGGTAAGCGAAAGTTGTGTGTTGCGCGCACTAAATTTTTAATTAATCATTTCTATATTAAATTATTGTTTAATTGCTCACCTGTAGAATATCAGCTTTGCCTTTTCCAGAAATTGCAAACAAACAGTTTCGGGCATTATTGATCACAGGAAAAGTCAGAGTAACTCTGGAAGGTGGAGGTTTTGGAGAATCATTGATAGGTGCAACCCATAACTTATTTTCATTAAGAAGAGCATGGTGAGGAAACAGTGAACATGTATGTCCATCTGGCCCTAAACCAAGTAACAGAAGATCGAATTCGGGTAAATGATCCCCAAAATGAGACTTAAGTTCCTTTTCATAATCTATTGCAGCTTCATTTGCTAAAACAATACAATAATCAACATCTTAAAAAAAAATTATTTGAAAGTTGCTGTCCATAATTTTAATTTAAGGAGCAGTCAAAGAAATTGAAACACACTACAAAGTAGAAGTCAAAACGTATGCACATAATAAATAAGAGCCCTACTTATTAGAAAGTTTCAACGTCTATGATTGCATACCTGACCAATTTCTTGTATTTAAAAAATTTCAAAGGTGTAAAACAAATTATTGTAAGTATATTAATATAAAAATAGGCGCTGTGCTGCTTATGTTGAGTAAGCTTAATGTAAATCCCATAACTGGCAGAAAATTAAAAACATTTATATAAATAATTTATAAAACTGCAATATCATAAATACAAGGAAATGTGTGAAAGTGGTAAGAATACTAGTGGGTTCTATTCAGTGGCATATTCCATTCATGTTCACTTAAATATACTGAAAATAAAGAATAAGACCAAAAGAAAATAAATGAGGCAGAGGTCCTTGCTATGACCATTTTCAACTGGCATGCCCATGGTGGAGAGCATACTGAAAATTTTAATTTAAGGAAAATTTCAAACGTTATACCTAAATTAAATAGTGTATTTTACATGTTTCGTTTTTAATGAAAAGGTGCATTTTAGTAAATAATTTATTACAATAAATAGGTCACAGAAAAAAATAAATGCTGTGTGATTATATTTGCTGAAAACACATTTAGTCTTTCTAAAAGCAGGGAACCTGTAGTTCATTAACAGGTCAATGACAACAATTTATAAATATTTTTTTAATAAAAATAGGATTTTGTATAGTTTAGTCTGTTTAAAATCCTCTCAAATTAAAAAAATATATATATAAATGAATACTTGCTTTTTAAAACAATTATGTATAATAACAATAATAATAAAAGACAGTTTTATATATATATATAGTTACTTTTAGTAGAATGTTTTTCAATGGTACATAATGAACTTATAATTGGTGTCTATAAGTATAAGTAAGCCCTTATAGTCTTACTTTTTATTCAAGTTATAACATTTCGAACTACTTTGTTCAAGGTATCAAAATCCAACGAAAAATATTTCAAATATTCTACAACTTCAACATATTTCCATTATATAATTCGATTATAATTTATTTCTAGTCCACAAATATGAAATAATCATGTTCCTAGCATTTTATTTCCATTTTGTATAATACTTGTCAATTTCGAAACCCGGTACTACCTCCGTAGTAGTGGGTTTCGAGAATTGATAAGCATTAGACAAAATGTAAGGAACATGGAGGTTTTTATATTTGTGGACTAGAAGTTAATTATAATAGGAATGTACAATGGAAATATATTGGAATTTATAGAATATTTGTTGGATTTTGCTAACTTGAAAATGAGTAAAGTAGCTCAAAACATTGTTATAACTTGAATAAATAGTAAAACTATAAGGGCTTATCTATCCTTGAAGAAGACACCATATATAAAGAAAGATTTTTATTGTAATTAGGAATTAACTTACTTAAATAGATTTTTAGTTATAAATAATTTTAACTTGAATAGTTTTTTAATTTAGCTTCTTATTAAAAAATCAACGTGATAACCTTAAAATGACACAAAATTTAAATTTACTCTTCATGTACCATGTACGGGATTGGACTATAGTACAAATAAATATATAAGTTCCTTAGCAATGTAAGTAAAAAAAAATAAAAAAATTATACTAAACGGTGATTCCTAATGAAAAAATAATACAGGCTTTTAGTACAACCAGAAAAAAAATGGTATCTCAGGAGGCAATGAATTCATGAAAGAAATTTTCAATGTCGCCCTGGTTTTAGAAATTTCTCTCGTGCGAAAATTTGTCCGAGTCCTGAATACAGGATATTCAGTAAGAGGGAGGTGAGATGAATAAGGTGGATGTTGGAAATTTTGTAACCTAACTCGTGCAGTCGTCGCAGTGTTGGTTGTGCAGTTTATGGACAGGCATTATCAGAGAGAAGGATCGGCTCCTTCATAATAATCAATACAAAGCAAAGATGCTGCAACTTCCGATTCATGTCATCAATTTTTTGGTATTACTTGTTGGCCAAGAGTGATGGTTTGGCCATAATTGAGAAAGCTATAGTGGATAACAGCAACAGTAGACCACCAAACTGTAGCCATAACTTTTATTGGGTGCAGGTTGGGCTTTGGGAAATGTCTTGGTTGTTCATCTTTGATCAGCCATTGACTATATAAGATCCATTTTACACCATCCATCACTATGAGATCGATAAATGGATAGTTTTTAATCTGTATCAAAAGAATAGAACAAACTTCAAAGCAGCAATTTGTTTGGTTATTGTTTAATTGACGTGGCATCCCCATGGCTAACTTTGTGCATTACCAATTGCATCCAAGGGAAGTATGATGGTGGACTGGTTCCAGCCAAGTTCAATCGTCACTTCTCAGGTGGTTTTGGTTAGGTGATCTTCCAAAACTTTTTGTCAACTGCATAATGTTGACCACGATCTTCCTTGTCTTTTAAGTAGAAATCTCCAGGGCAAAACTTCTGGACTTTTGTAAAACCTTTTAACACACTGAACATAATAGTTCTACTGATTAAATTCTTGGTGAAAGAGAAGGTATTAGATAAGGATTATAATGGTATATAAGAAATATTTAGTATTTACTTTCTTTACAAAAATGGTATTAAAACATAGCAATGGTGGAAGCCTGCATTATTTTCGCATCAACCCAATAGTTTTTTTTACTTTTCCAAAACCACAATGGACTGTATTAATGTCTAATTTTTTTATCGACAAATTATAATGAGAATATGAACACAGTTAAAAATTACTACTACTAAAACTAAACTACTCATAAATTAACAAAAAGAAAAAAAAAAAAGAATAAATACCTGATAGTTTTGTATTTACTTTTATAAACTGGTTTTCATTAATTGGCAAAATCCCAATAAGTTTTTTTTTATAAAGTCCATATGTTGACTCTGGATCATCATATGAAACAATTCTTTCATCACAGAAAAAGAACTGCCAATTCTTCCATGTAGTTTCAATTTTTGGCAACACCAGTTCCAAAAGATTTACCAATGACCCACCTAAAACGGAATGATGAACTTTTAGTCAAAATTAAGAATAATATTTAATATATATTAATTTTTTTTGTTTAAAATTATAAACTATTTAATACTATAACCCATTAGTGAGGCTTATCGAATCTAATAGATGAAGTACCTAGTTTTTGTTGTGGTCTTAAGGGCAGGATTTGTCAACAAAGGATAAGGGCTATGGTAGCTCCCTAAACTACCTAGGTACACACCTAGGTATGGTTTAAATTTTCTCAGCACAGTGATGATATTAGAGAGTAATTTTTGGTACTTTTTGACTAGCAGGCCGGCATGAAACCTCACTTCTTATCTATATGATCTAATGGCACATCACATAACCTCCCTCTTCTTATCCCGCCAAACCTTTGAGTTATTGCATTTTTTAGTTTTCAGTTATTCCCTTATTACGTTCACTTATTAAATTCTTTGCTTTTGGCCCATTTTTCATGATTTTTAATTTTTTTTTAGTTTGTGGCCCCTTTGTATTTATTTTTCATTTATTTTCGTCATTTTATGGATCTTATAATATTATAATTTTGTCGATCCATCACATGGGGTTCATACTCAACACATAGAACGATTATGGGGCTCAGCGAAGTGGAGAAATAAAGTACATAAAGGAACTGCCAGACAACACCTCGATTCATATTTGTGCGAATTTTTGTGGCAGCTGGTTCACAGAGAAGAGGACCCGTTCCTCGCTATTTTAAATAGCATAAAACAATTTTGCCTTCCAAAATAAAAAAGACAAAGTGAAAATAAATTGTACATATGTTGTTTATAGTGTTGATATTTTTTCTTTTCTATGTAAATATGTTCTTTAAATGTTTTTTTTATTATTTCATTTTCATCTTTTGTATCTAAATATGTTCTTCAAGTGGTTTTTTTATTATTTCATTTTGATGTTTTATATGTACATATCTTCTTAAAGTGTTTTTTTATGATTTAATTAATAAAAGTGTCATAAAATAATAGTATTTTTTTTGTTATTACATTTGTTTTTGTATCTGTTTAAACTTTCAATAATACAAATATAATACAATAATAAGAAGATAGAAAGTAGGAGAAGGCTTATCACTGCGTTATCGGAATTATCAGTGTTTAGGTTATAAACATTGGCAGATAGCAGTCAGTGCCGGCCTGCTAGTCAAAAAGTACCTAATTTTTAATCCGATGGATTAATTGAGCTGCTAGAGATAATTCCTGATTTTGTAATTTAATAAGTTGTGAAGAAAACCTACAGTGATGCAAGATATCTGTGGTGTTCAATAGTCATATTCGCACCAATGAATTCATTGGTATTAATTCAGTGGTCCAGATGGCACAAAGTGACACAGCAGCAATATTGGATAGAGCTAAATAAAAAGCAATTCTCATCACAAAAGTTCAGTAAATATGAAATTTGAAAGAATTGAAAATTTTCAGATCAGCTTTCAGAAACCTTTCAGCCATTTCAGATCAAAAGAAAATTTATTGTGCTAAGTTGAAATTTGAACCAGGTTCGTATATGCTATAATCCTTTCCCTTTTTAGTAAAACAAGGTTAGAAAAACATAAAACTAATACTAACTTAAGCCTTTTAGAAAGAATACAATAAACTTTTAAAAAGTATAAAATAACATACTTATAATTTATTTTCAGTAAATATAAAATTTGAAAGATAGCCTCAGCCAATTCACATCAAAAGGGATATTTATGGTGCTGGATTAGAATTTAAACCAGATACTTAAATGCTACAATCGTATTCTATTTTAGTTAAACATGTCTCAAAACTGATAAAAATAATATCAACAATTTAACCATTTGAGAAAGAATAAAATCATTTTCGATTCATACTTTTTAATAAAACACATTAATGACAACATTTGTTATAATGAAAAATAAATGAAAAAAAAAAAATGAACATTTCATTTACCTGACAGACCAACATTACAGATTCCATACTTATTTATGGCTTCATTTGCAATTGGTTCTATAATTGATTTGAAACTATCTAAAAAATTAGATTGTTCAACAATGTTCATTATTGTTTCTGCCATTATCACTGGTTAATCTAGGTAAAATAAAAGCAGGTTTCTTCCAGCTGAAAATTTTCAAGGTATTATGAACCAGGATTATACAACAATTAGCTTTATATAAGAAATCTTAAACACCTAAAAATTAATAAAAAGTACAGCAAAGGAAAAGGAAATCATCACTGTAGAAGCAGGTTGAAGAATCTCTAATTTTTTTTTAAGCAAATGAAAATACATAGGTTCTATTTCAATTAGCTAACAAGAAAATTAGTTTTCTAAATTTTTGAATACGATATTCAATAAGACATTGTGAATGGTAAACATGTATCAATATAGTTAAACATTGTGATGTATAAGAGTCTACAGAGATGAAATATTACTTCATAGAAGCTGCTGGCGGTAGAACAAAATGTTATTGTTTATAAGGAAGTTAGACGACTGTTCTACATATCATGGGTGATAAATATCCAAGATGCAGTCATTTTTAATATTTTTTATTAGTGCCGACGATTTAACCCAAACATGTGGGTGATCATCATGCCGTGTTTCGAGCACTGAAGGTACTCAGGTACTAGTACTTGTATACCTTAAGTGCTCAAAACATGGCCTGATGATGACCCACATGTTTGAGTTAAAACATCGATACTAATACAAAATGTTAAATATGACTGCATCCTGAATATTTATCACTCATGTTATTATATAGATTTATAATCAGAAAAATAGCATAGGTATGGTGTCAATAAGAATGGTAGTCTGGAGATAATATAATGAAATCTGCATACTAAGTAGTCTTGACAGGGGAAAACAATTTTAAGATCTAGGTACTAAATACTGTGCAAACGCAGTTACAAAATTTTAAAGTTAACACCGTCATTTTATAAGTGGCAATACATTAATTAAGAACAAAAACTAAAATAAAGAGGATAGTAAATGATATATAGAGAAATGGCAAATATATTTAAATGATAAAATAATTTCGAACCAGTTTATTAGAATCTATTTGAAATTCAACTAAATTTTTTAGCTTTTTCTTACAGTTAGTCAATAAAGAATAATAACTTTATTCTTAATCATTAAATGAATAAATATTAGAGCTCAATACAGTACTCGGAAACTTCCTTTCATTTACTATATTTAACACAATTTAAAATCCTGTTAAATCAACGAATAAGTTGCCTTTTCTCTCTCTAATTTATGAATAATAATACCTGGTTAGGTACTTATTAAAAAAAAAAATTAATGAAGAGTACTTCTAATCTTTAGGTTGCTGAAGAGAATCAAATCAACAGGTGGTTATGGATACATAACATTGAATATAAAATAAATTATTTAGTTAAGCTCTTAACAGAATTAAATAAATGGCAAATTCAAATAATTAAAATTATAAAATCCACTTTTATTGGGTAATCAATGTAATTATTTAATGAGCCCATATCACAAAGATCTTTATCAAATCTATCTTATTTAAATTTAAAAATAACTGTAATTGTATTATCTTATCCTGATATATAGTACTATAACAACCTAATAATTAAATCAGTTAATTTAAATCAACGGAATTCAGGAATATTTAAAATGTGAATGACAGTAACTGACAGTCATTAAATGATATATGATTACTTACGGGACAGTTTAAACGAACTCGATCCTGATTAGACATAGGATAACCTTAAAGTAGGTATGGCTATCGATAGTAGACAACATTGAAATATCGATATTTTTCTTCCGAATTTTTATATTTTACCATCGATGGCATCGACTTCGTTATTTTCTATCATCCCAACGATATTTTACTATTTTAATTTAAAACTATGTTTTAGGAAAACTCAAGGGGTTATATATTAATCTGATCATTAGAAAAAATATATATATATTTTTTTTTTTTTTTTCCGATCCCTCTGAAACAAAACAAACCATGATATCATTGTCATATCGGACCAGTGCACTAGCGGAACGATACTTTGAATTACCTTGACCTTTTTCTACCTGTGGTATTTGAAGGTGCAAAAAAAAAAAAAAAAATATATATATATACTCATATTGCCTGTTCTCATATAGTGTTGCGCCATCAAAATTGTTGAGTGGAGCACATTTTGGCTGGGTATTAATTTTTTGAGGAGGGGGGCGCATGCTGATCATGAATTATTGGAATGTAAAGTTTCAAACCAAGAAAAAGAGGAAAACAGGGAACAGACCGCAGCAAGTGTAATTGTATATCATCTACGATCTTTTAAATTTTACTTTCATTTGCACTGTTATTAAGAAGAGGAGAAAAATAAAATATCTTGAGAAGAAGAGGGAGAAGGCTTATGCGCCATCGACCTTGGGATGGATGAGCAACCCTGTAAGAATTGATATTTTCATTAATTAATTTAAAGAGAATAATAATACGATGTCCTACCTTAAGGTTACGAAATAGGTGCAAGACGAACACAGTTCTCTGGAACAATTAAAATATAGCAACATTATTTTGCTTGCTCATCCAAGATAGGGAAGCATTGTATTCGTACGAGAAAAAAAAAAAAAAAAAATGTGCTCAGAATCGAAAATTTCCACTCGCGTTTCAGACATTAAGGATTAAATTTGGTTCGGTGTCTGTAGTCAAATCGATACATCGGACATGCCACCTATCTATGTACTACAGTTTATCCGATTTTTATGAAATATTGGGGGAATGTGCAGGTTTGTGCTTAGATAGCCCCATATAAATTTTATCAAATTCCACCCAGCACTTCCGCTTACGCACACTAAAATGTATTTTTATTAGATATGCTAATATTTCAGAAACGGTACGTTCGATTTGCCTCAAAGATGGACAAAAGGTAGATATAAAAGTGATGTAGTATCAATTTTATTAAATTTCGTCCACTACTTTATCTTATATATTATATGCAAATATGTTTTTCTTGATACGTCTATATCTGAAAAACTGTAAGTTCCATTTAGCTCAAATATGGACGGAAGTTAGGGATAGGTAAACGGATAATCAAGTATACATAAATTTTATCAAACTCCATCCACTATTTTCAAAAAAATATTCCGGCTTCTGGATCATTAAACGTATTATTTGACGCGCCTATTGTTTGAAAACGGCTTATTCGATTTGACCCAAACTTGGAGGAAATTTGGAGAATAGTATAGAAATTGTTTAGTATCAATTTCATTGAATTCCATTTAAAAATTAAAATTAATATAAATAGCTGTTAACAATATAATGGCTGTGAAATATAGAAGGCATTGATCATAGGAAGTGAGTGCTAGTTTAATCCAATATTTTTTTGAGATTTTTTTTAGGTTTGATTCAAAAAATTAATTTATCCTGAATTGTAGACTGATGGTTGACTGTAGTGAATAATTGAAGAGAACTATCGTTGGGGTGATAAGTAAAAACATAAATAAATAATTATATTTATGTTTATATTTGCCAATAAAAATAAATATAATTATTAATTTTTTTTTATTGGTCCTGTATTGTTTGGTCGCTTCCATTACTACCGCTATTTAGATTTCGTATTATTTTCAGTTAATTTAAATTGAATATTACTCTGAGTTTGTAAAAAAAAGTCTTATTAATGATTATGTTTGTTTCTATTGAAATTCAACCAGCTCGTCCTAGTCTCGATTTCCTCCTTAAGCATCCAAGTTGTGTGAACTTCACTCATATTTTTATATTCTAGCTTAAATTAATTTAGTGCTGACCACTAGCGGATCCAGAATTTAATTTTGGGGGGCTTTAGGTCGGAAGCTTTTTTTCATATATATATAACTATAATTAATTTGAAAAAAAAGTGAAACAACCTAACTACTTATATGGCATGGTGTTTAAGTGATTCTTGTAGTCCTATTAAATGTAATTAAGCGAACAATAATAATATTTTAAGAAATAGTTTTTAATATTTTTTTCTATAAAACATGGTTATGTTTTACCATTTTGGGGGTTCTTCAGCCCGAAACCCTCCTCCTCCCCGTAGATCCGCCTGTTGTGCTGACTGAAGGAAAATATTGGTCTCATTAATTCTAAAGAAACAAAAGGTTGATTTTTCCAATGGATTTTTTTCCATCTATTTTACTGATCAAAATGTATAATGCTGCTGTCAGTGCAAAAAAACGTATATCAATTTTTACAGTTTATATTTTATTTATGGTAGAGGTGATATTTTTTAGTCTTTAACTAATACAGATAGTCTGCTACTATGGAATATAACAGAAGGAAATAAAATATGAAATTATACAAATAAATCATAAAGGAATAATTATTTTTCATGGAGCCGCGGTAGCCGAGCGAGTTAAGGTGCCTGCAAAACTTTTGTAACAAGTGTTCAAATGCCGTTCCCGGGAATTAATTAACAACACACACACAAAAAGTAATTAATAATAAATTAAAATAATTAAGTGCAAGCCCCATACTACTTAGACCACTACGGCGTGGGTTCGATTCCCGCTTGGAGACGATAACGTTCCTACCCTGAGATCTCAGACAGATTCATAGAGAGGTGAGCGACCTCTGTGTCTTAAACCATAGCTCCTGGTCCTCCAGGTTGGGGGTTGGGTATAGGGCTCATAATCCCCTATCCCATAAAAAACTGAGTGGAAGATTCAAGCAAAAGATTTGCCAACCATCCTGTATGAAAGTTCCTGATGAAGAGGATGTGATATGTGATCGCGGCCGGTTAGTGCTCCCTGGATATCTCGAAAAGAGAAAACAAAAACGATCACTACTGTGCCGCAAGCTGCTGAAGGAGACTCATGATTTAAAAAGTCGAAGTCAGCAGGCGTAGGAAGAGAAAAATAAAGTTTTTTATACGAACAGTTGCGATATGCATTATTAATATTAGTTTCAGTTAGCTTCTTTATTTATTTAGTTTCTCAGAAACTAGTGGTAAATTCAAATTATAATTCCAAAAAATTGTGAATTTCAAAATCAAGACGTAGTTGCAAACTAAAAAAAAAAATGCTTGACCACATCTTCATCCTAAAACAGGTGTCTAAAAACGATGGGAAGTATGTGAACGTGTTATTTGTCGTTTTAAAAAATATATTAAATAAGTTTAAGAACCACTATGAC